TGGTCATAGTCCAGCTGCTGATGTAGGTCAACATTAAACAAAATCTCCATTGCATATGACATATGGAAAACATTTCCAAGTTCTCTCAGGTTGTTGTGGGGACATTTGATTATAGAAAGGCATATGGCATATGAGATGTTTGAACCTGATCATAAGACTCATAGCATGGTAACTAAAACAAAAGGCCCCGTGACCAAGCCCTGTCCAGGGGACATATAACTCCCTCAGACTGTATTTGACAATAAGAGCCTTTCCAGGAGCCTGTTGTTGCCCGCTGGGGACACGTTGCCATTGGAAGCGATTGATGTTTTTTTTCTCTTTTTTTTATCAAAAGAACAGGATATGCATGTCTAGATTCCATTGTTGTTCTGAAACCAGTGAGATCAACAACATCGCCTGCAGTTCCGTTCGTCTCTCCCCCGCAATGCCTCCGAAGAGTTAACACGCACTGCTCTCTGACATTTAACACTAAATGTGAGAATGTTGGTTCAGTCCTACACATAAAGCAGCCAATCAATACAACAAGCTCATTGACAGGCCTTCAAGGGCAGGGTGGGACTGCCCTCCCACTCTAGTCTGAGTAATCGCTTTGCACTTTTAAATGAGACATAGTGGTGCTTGCAAATGGAATTAGGGATTGCTCACACTAAAAAAAAAAAAAAAAAACCACACCATAAAGTTACCTGTTTTTATAGTTTTGTGATAAACAGAGTCGTCCACTGATAGATGGGGTAGTGGCTGGTAACAGAACTGATGGAAATGAGGTCAGATAATCAGACCTGAAATTGATGTAGAGAATATATGATGTAGAGAATATTAGTCAATATTGCAGTATTTCAACAGTCTTGAAGAACTACACACACACACAAGACCCTGGCAATGGTCTCACGTTTTTTTAAAAGTCAAACTTATTTTAACTTGAGCGCCAAATTTTTAGAACAATGTGTCATGCATGAGATGCTGACAAAAATAGACGCAAATGCAATGTTCAAAACGTGTTTACATAGAAAAACTATGGAAAAGTAGCATCAGTAAATTAACATCAAATTAGCAATTAGCATGACTAAACAGAATTGCAAAAATTGAATAGGTAAAAGTTGTATACAGAGAAAAAATGTCACCTTTAAATTTGAAGTTATTCACTAATCATTTTCTCTTCTCCCAAATATCATCCATGTTTGCGTTCAATTAAAAAATGATGCCATCGAAAAGTCATGTCAGATTTGACAGCAAGCCAAACATCTGTTTGCATATTTTTATCTTGTTAGACATTGGAATTCAAGATGAAAAACTACAATACCCATGCTTATATATATATATATAATTTGATTGTCATTCGCCATGCTTTATGGAATTGTAGTTCTTTCCCTCAATAAAGCCGTTAAGTGCAAAGACCTTTGCCTTCTTGTCCGATTTTTTGAAAACCAACGAAACCAACGCAGCTGAAAAGTGGTCAGGCACTAATGCATTCTATTCTGACTGCAAGTTTTAAATATACTGTATGGCTTTCAGTGGAAAGACAGTTATCTGATTTAGACAGTACTTTTCGCTCATCTTGCCAGTAGTGGATCAAGAACTATTTGGCACACCCATTTTATTATTTCCAGTAAGTAAAGTATCTACATATAGTGTTAACAGTGGTATTAAAACAAAAAACAATTTCCAAACAAGCTATTCTGGTCACATTCTAAATAAAAGAAGACATACCCTGAGGTCAGCAAAGTTCAAGAATGCATGTCATTATGCTTTTACAAATGTCACAAGACACAAGTGATCATGACCGCCTGCTAAATAGCCTACAGGCTGAAACAACCTCAGGGAACACGGTTATGTAACGTGTCAAATGAAAAATGATGTCAAATGCACATTTTTCTATGGGTCAATGGGAGAAATGGCCTTTGCCTTTTACTGATGCAAGCTAGTATTAGAGTCACAATTAACTGAATCATCTGAGTTTATATTCAGGAACACTGTGACACTGATTGACCTGTAGTCGTTCAAACTAAAGAGATTCTTGTCTCGTCAACCTTTGGCTCAGACATGCCATCATCACAGGTTCGTTATGTAATTCTTTAAGTAAGACTTTCACACAGGTGTGGAGGGAAAGATGACAGTGATGCAGTGGATGTGTTTTAGCAGACATTTCTCATTTGCATCTGCTGATTTCCCATTCAAAAGCACTGGCTCGATAACCTTCAGCAGTGAGAGCTGCATGAAAGACCAGGGAACGTGAAATCTTATGCTAAACATTGTCTTTCAGCTCTCTCAATATTAAATAATATAACCTTCACTGGTGAATAAAGTAACACAGCTTGCTTTGCTGCAAAATTATCCACTAATGCCAACTTAGCACAAAAGCTGCATCTGAAGTGGCATATTTACCATAATAAAGTGCATTTACACTATTTAATGTAGCACAGAGGCAGTATAAATATATTTACATAAAAATGGTAAGTGCAGAAATAATGTTAAATTAATTTTAAATATAATTTTAAAAATAAATTACAATGAAAATATGTTAGATAATTTTAAATATGAAATTATGAACATTAAAAAAATGAAAATGTAAAATTAAAACAAATATTTAAAAAAAAGTATTTATCTAAAAATTACAACAAAAAAAAAATACTCCGTCATGACAATAAGAAATTTTAAAGCTGTACTGATGCTGCATTTCTTTTACACAGAACCAATGCAGCATCAGAGCTGCCACTTATACTAGAGGAGCTGAAGTAGGCCAAAGCTGCATGTTTTAGTATGATTTTTATTCTGCTATGCATAATTATGCAGAATCTTGTATAGGCACAGAGCCTGACCATACCAATCTTAACTAGGCTCTGTAAAGGGGCCTTAAATAACACACAAGAATCACTGTGTTCTATTTAATATTTTCTGTCCCAATAGTAGTTCTATTAGTGAAAAGGTCACCATCAAATCCCCCAGTATAGGTATAATAATGATTATGGTGGCATAATCCACCATATATATATATAACAGACTGTCAAACTAACTAATCCTTAGTCAGACGTAAACTGTGGTCTTTTTTCTTATGCTGATATAAGAGGTGGTAAATCTGGTATGGGTCAGCCACTGTATATTGGCTGTCTACAGTCTGAATACTAGGGAGGAATGTAACATGCCACTGTGGGAGCAATAAAAAAAAATGTGCATGGGAGTGAGACCGCTGGTCACGACTGCTGTTCATCATTCAGCTGCAGCTTTGAAAGGCTCCAGAAAGATTAAAAATGAAATGAAATGATGTTGCTTATTGATCTGATTCTGACAGAGGACTGGGATGCAGATGAAACTTGTCTGTAAAAAGAACATGAAGCACTTTTTGCATTAATCCACAACACAACCTCATCGGGTTGCATGTGAGTGACATGCAGTAATCAACTTTTTTATTTTAAATTACATTTTCTGTAAAAAAAATCCTTAGTCAGACAGAGATATTACAGATACATCTGCAAAAATACAATGAAATATTACCAAAAAATCCTTGACCTCTTGATGCATACAGAAAATATGGACAGTATACATACAATATACTGCAAAAACAGTAGACAGTTATTTTAATATTTAATTCTGAACATACCTTATATTTTTGTTATGTGTAAATAAGCAAAACTCGCACGCAACATACTGTACAGTACACAACATACTGTACAGTAAGAGCACAAAAGTGCCAGAATCAGACAAACTTCTGATACAGAATTATGCAGTTCAGTACTGCTGCAGAAGGTTTTTGGGAACAGCCACCCGGAAAAATATCTGCGCAAGAGACACTGAGCTTCGATTAAAGAAACCGCGACCACAAACACTGGAGGAATATTTCTTCTTCCTCTCATTGTTCTTTGCTGTCATGCGGTTTCGTGGCTCCAGGTACAAAGCTTGTCCAAACAACTGTCCAGTCAGGGTTATTTTCAACATGTGTAAAACTTATGAGACTTTTCTCATAACCTCATTTGATTCACTAAATTGCAAACAATAGCTATTAACATGTAATATGTTTTTTACAACTTTTCTCAACACATATGTTTGCTACAGTAATAAGACCAGCCTATATTAAATCTGGATAGTTTGAAATACCATAAATATGCAGTTTTTCATATATATATATATATATATATATATATATATATCAATATTTCAATATTTCTATTTAACTTTATTTTAAACTACCAAAGAAAATATTGACAATATGACAGAAATGTAGTTCTTGTGTTCTATTCCACTGGCATCATAAAAGTTCAATCAATAAAGGGGAGACCGGGGCTAATTGTCACACTTTTTAATGAGCATTTCTCAGTTTGTGCTGTATATGCACATACTGACTAGGAACAAAAAACTATTTAACATTTTCACTGTTATTGCTCAGAGACGCATGATACAATTCCCTGAACTCAGATTAACCTTTTGTGCCAATATAGTTACTGAGATATGACCCTTCTGCCAACTTACCATGTGACAACTAGACCCTGTCTCCCTACTTTAATGTGTTGTAGAGGATTTTTCAATCGGAAACGTTTAAAAGAGAGTAAAACATGCAAATATGTTTTAAAACGGCAAATGTTTTATGTATAGACTGCACACCAGATTTTCAGATACAGTCAACACATCTACAAGACCTCGTAATATTTATGAGAAAACACTTCCCTGCAATATTGCGTAATTTTGCCACTCTTAGAGAGTAGCCTAAAAGGTAAACTCTTAAAATGTAAAAACTGTCTATGTTATGATTTTGCAATGAACAAATATAACGATAAAATTTGAGTTATATTATTATTTAAAAAAAATTGGCTACTACGTTATTTAAAGTTTTTTTTTCTACATGCGTACTTATAGAAGTATGCATAAAATAGTCATACAAGTCAAATATGACGTCTTGCCAATATGAGAGCGGAAGAACACACCGCTGAACTGGTACAGGTGTATGTCCATCTGACAGGTTCAGACAGGTTAGCCTACATCGCAATAAACATCATTTAAAAATATCTTACCTGTATGTCTTTTTGCGCGGGGGTCTGTCTTGCCTTTAGAGAGAGAGAGAGAGATTGATTTGAGTGCACACTGATATACTTGTAGTGTTTCGCACACTAGAGGTAAGTGTACTCAGTGTCCCTTTACTTTGTGGAATCGTTAATGAAGGCGACTGAAGTCATACGGCAGCGAGTCTCCGCCTCCTCCTGCGCTTCAGAGAAATATTTTTCATTCCAATAATGCCAACACGCTTGCTTTGATGCCACCTAGTGGTTTGAGATGGCATCTATCTATCTATCTATCTATCTATCTATCTATCTATCTTAATTTTTTTTTTTACATTTTTCTGAATTAATTTTAAAAATTCAATTGATTTAACTTTCAAAAAGAACATAAAAATACAGATTTTGTTTCAATACACTTTTCAAAATATTTTTTTTTTTCACCTTTAAAAGAACATAAAAACAACAACAACAACATTAGGAACGAAAATCTGAATAAAACAGACTTTTATTATGTTGGGACTTGTATTTTGAAATGTCACGAGGACTGTCAAAGCGTCTCCACGCTCCAGTTCAGTTGGTGGCGGTAATGCACCAAAAGTTGGCTTGCCCACCGCCAATACAAGAAGTCTTGCATCCTTTTAGAAGCTATGTCAACTTCAAGGTTAACTAACAAGTGTTACCGTCATCTGCTTAGCTTGAGCTCCACATGGAAATGTCACCAACAAGCCGCCAGACTGTCAACGATGAGAAGTGAATTTGAAGTGAGTGAGTTGTAAACAAACGTTTGTGGCTGGTTAGCATGACTGAATTGTCAATCTGCGCCGTGGCAGGTTATGATGAGATGTATGCATGTCTCTTATTATAGACTCTTTATTTGTCGTAAATCTCTCTCACACCTTTTTTTTTTATTCTAGAGAGACAAATCTATTATATAAGATCTGGATATGACTATATGAGATCTGGACAGACGTGACACAGACAACTTTACTGGCTCGATATATTTTATTTAGGTGCAAATTAAACATACCCTAGGCTGTAGTTTAGCACTTACATTATAATTATCTAATTCTGGTCTTTTATTATCTAAATTGTAGTCCTTTTTTATTTAACGTAACTGTTGTAGGTAAACAGTGTAACTGTTTGTGTATTAGTTGTAAGATTATCTTATCTTTAGGTCTTGATATTTGCTTGATGTGAAAGTCTGTTTTATTTGTGACCCATTTGTTTTAGTCGATATGTGGTGACAGATTTAGGAGTATTTCTTCAGCACAAATGGTTACAAGGACCAGTGTATGTGGAGGACATTCACAGGTAACAAACACAGACCTTTTGTGCCTTTTTACATTTCTAAATCGAGTCTCAAAATGTGCAAAAGTTTAAATTAACCTCTTTTCCCAATATTATCTGATATTTATATATTTTAAAGTGGTTTGATTGGATTCTGAAGAAAAGGGAACTCCATTTAAGCACACCTCTTGGAGAAAGAAAGGCATTTCAGTTCAGGTAAATAGTGTTTACTGAATTCTCAGGGTTAAGTTTAGTCTTGTACTAATCACTGACAGAGCACAAACACAATATTTGCAATATTCCTTTTAAATTTATTATGCAATATGATATACCAGTTGTGATTTATCATTATCATTACAGAGCATAATATTTGCAATATTGTTTGTACTTTTATTATGCAATAAGATATACCGGTTGATTTATCATTGCGTTGGTCAGGGTTCGTTCATTGTAAGATTGTTGTTCAAATAATTGTAATTTTCTACTGTAGGTTGTATTTTGTTAGGGTGTTAAAAAAAGTTATTTGTTTGTATACCAAAAGTCCCAGCAATGTCAGCCTCATAATTTTTTTTATTGCTCACATTCTTCAAATAATAATCTAAATAGCTTAAAATAACCAGCCAATGCAAAGTTCTTAGCACAGAAAACATGCCATACAAACCAAACAAATATTTTTAATACAGACAACTATTAATAAACCACTTATTTTTCTCATTTATTATTTATACAGCATAATTTTCACTTGTATTTTTGCAATGATTGGAAACTATTATTTTCTTAACATACACAGTGATTGTTTTGTATAGAGCACTAACAGATGCAGAATATGAGAGACTAGCAGAAGAGACACTGGACGCATTGGCAGAGTATTTTGAAGACCTCACAGATGAGAGCTTTACTGGATTGGAGTATGACGTTGTCTTCTCTGTAAGTACACATGCCCATATTCTCACATCCTTACAGGTTATGTCCCTGTGGTGCTTTTACATCTCAACCTTATGAAAAGTTTGTTGTGCCTAGATGTCCAGTAGGGGTCAATGTTGGTCTACATTAGGCTGTTTGCAACCCATTTCTTTGAATGAACCAGGATCTTCTATAATTACAAATTGTATGTAATTATATGATATTGTATGTAATTGTATGATATTATAGTTATGTTTCGATCAATTGATATAGACCATTGCCATTACTACAGTAAATTTCAAATGAGCAAGTTTATAAAATTAAAAAATTGCAATAATTATTCTTTTAATTAAAAATATTTTTGGCATGATTTGGAGTTGCCATTTCTCATCTTTACTTAAAGTTGCCCACTTCACCTGTCATGTAACTCATTTGTCTGAGCTTTATATCACCAGCCTTTTTGTGAAACATTGCAATTAAGTTGTTGCTCTGTAGGGTGAAAAAGGAGTCCTAAAACTTTTATGATGGTATCTTTTCTCTTCTTCTTTTATAGGAAAAGAGGTTTGTTTGAGTGTTATTGTTGTTGAGTGCTCCTGCATGACTTCTGTTAAGAGTTCAAAGCAAAAAAAGCTATTTGTGAAGCAGCCTTTATTGCAGTACCATGCAGAGAAAATGCACGTCTCCTGCAGGATTTATGAAGGCTGTAAACAGCTTTTAGCATGTTATTGTAAGACTGGACTAATGCCACTTTCAGTCTTTTCACACATACACACACACACACACACACACACACAGATTTTTGTTTATTTATTTAACAAATATCTTACTCAAACCCAGTGAATGATTAAGTCCATGCACTCATTTCAGTTAAATTTAAGCGTCTGGTGGGTGGCCAGCAGGCCCTGGTGACAGATTGATTGGTCATTCACGCTCCTCACTCTCCTCTGGCTGGATAAATGTCAAGTGGTGATTTTCCTGTCAGCTACTTACTCTTAGCAGCCAGTTTTTACACCTCTCTATAGCCTCACGTGCAGCCAGCAAACACAGACAGCTGTAGCCATCCCGTTAAATGGGATTCAGAAAATTCTCTTTTTGCACACTGACTCTGTTGCTACAGTTAGGATGATATAATGATACTCTTTAGATCAAACATTCGGACCGCTGCGAGCAAAGGCGTGGTTGACAGATTGAGCAATGTTCCCAGTAAAAAAAATTACAGGGGGAAAAGGCTTCTTTTTTTTTCTTGCCATAAATGTAATTTATTCCGAAGCAATAGTCTCATCAGTGCTCGTTCAGGTCTTACTTTAATCAGCATATTTGTGATATTTGCCTTAAATTGATTTCTAGGATACTTTTTAACTTTATGAAGGGCAGTATTTTCATAACCTTATTAAATGTATGTCATCATTTATGTCAAATTCTTAAGTTTCGTCAATACATTCAGTTAGAATAATAAGACACTGTATGGTTGTTACCATTCAAATGAAATCAGTATCAACAAACTCCATCTTTCCACTGCAGAGGAAACACAGAAGCTGCATCAAAACTGCCATTTAGATGTACTTACTCAGACTGTTTAATGAAGATAAGAGGTTCTACAAATGCATTTACACAGTAAAAATTTAAAATGCATAAATAATGTTTTAAGATTACTGTTTTACTTTTTTAACATACAAATATGAAATGTTGGAAAAATGCAGATACTTTTAAATATGAAACCAAACCACCAGTAGGTGGCGGCAAGTGACTGTCTTAATGAATGACTCATTGACTCACCCAATTCGTTAAAAAATGCTGAATCATTCAGTAACGAAACGCTGTTGTGTGTTGCTCGGAGATGTTCTGCTGTGGTTTTGCTTAGAACTGTCAATAATGTGTCTAAAATGTAAGTCAGTTAGTATTAACTAGTTTGTTGTACTACTGTTGTATAAAGTCAATGTCACATTTGCAGTCGTGCTAATAGTCTGGAAAACATCACTCGTGATGTTGCTTACCTGTATCATATATTATATAGAATATTTATCTTTTTTTTCTACCACAGTATGTTTGTTTCTTTGTGTGTGCTGTTGCGCTTATTAGGGCCCGAGCACCGATGGTGTGAGGACCCTATTGGAATTGCTCCGTTTCTTATTACTGGCAACAGGAAATGACTTTGTTTACACTAACTTAAACATGCAATGTCCAATCTGCACCAAACATACATGTTTAGTAAGGATACTGGCCTGAAGACATCTACACATTAATGTTCAGTAATAATTTTAGCGCCACCTGTTGGCAACAAGATATGCCATGCTTTACACTAACGCAAACATACCATGTTCAATCTGCACCAGACTTCACATGTTTGATAAAAGTCCTGGCCTGAAGACATCTACATGCCAACATCCAGTTATAATCATAGCGCCACCAGCTGGCAGCAGGAAGTTTGGCACATATAAATGACTTTGACATATTTCTCCTATATTTACCACTTTTAATGCATATTGCCCACTGTTTGCTGTTTTCCTAAAGCCACCGGGTGGCGGTGAGCCCGGGTGCGAGGGCCCTTTCATCGCTGCTTGCAGCTTTAATTAGTTTTGATTTCTCCACGAGTCAGTCAGGCTGCACGAGCCTCAACTGAGGTGACCTTGATACTGTCAATACATTATCCGTTATCAGTCACCGTTTACACTGGAAAAAAATAAAATCAGAATCAATCTCGCCAAAGTTTCGGTGCTGCCCTAGTTATTGTTTGTTATTGTCATTTTAATCATGTTACTTGTCTGGTTGGGCAAGTAAAAGTCTCTTTCACTTGCCCCTTCACAAATTCCACTTGTCCTTGAGAAGCATTAATGTTTAGCCCTATATATATATATATATATATATATATTCATACATACATACACAGTGGAGATCAAAATTAGAGAACAACCTGCAATTTCTTAAATTTCAAGGTCACTGCTTAGCCCTATTTAAAGTTATCCTAACAGGAGTAGAAGGGCAGTTTTTAAAGCATATTTC